TACTCCAATCTCTACACATTAAAAACACCAATTTAATCAATGTACACATCCAAAAGTTTAAATTTCACATTGCAAAGTAAGGGAAATTTAAATTATATTTCTTATAACACACGACTCAGTTAACTGTAGGGCCACCACCACATAGAGTAGAAAATGAGTTAGGTATGGAATGGTTCTGGGCTCCCCTGGGGGCTGAGAGGTAAAGAATCTGCCTGCAGTGCAGGAGTTGAGGGTTTGACCCCTGGGTCAGTAAGATCCCCTGGAGAAGGAAATGGCAACCCTGCTCCAGTATTCCTGCCTGGGAAATCCCATGGACAGAGGAGCCTGGCGGGCTACAGTAAATGTGGCTGCAAAAGAGGCAGACATGACTGAGCAACTGAACAACAATGGAATTGTTCTAAGCAACCACAGAAGAAAAAGAGGACAAAATTATACAATATCTCAGATCTTATCGGTCAGAAGCCGTGTTATTCCTTCTCTCCTCTAAGAACATGTAAAATCATTTGTTCTTTTGTTTTGAATCACTGAAGCATTTTAAAGGAATCTTTCTAAAAGTAATAGAGTAATGCTCTTCCAGGGAAAATTTCATTCTAATGTCAGAACCATTATCAACTTTCTACATCATTTTTTATTCAAAACTTTTAATTTCACAATGCAGAAATTTTTTTTGTCCAAAAATTCATTATTTTTGCAAATGCACTAATCGTTCTAAAAATCATTTTTTAAGATCCTATTAAACATGCATTTACTGAATTCAACGGATGTGTAAAACACACTTACAGAATAGAATGGAATATAGAATAATACGAAACCAGAATACAATGGAATATAGACTAATCCAAAACCAGAATTGTTACCTTAGGGGATGGAATGCTTTTCCTTAACAAACTACCAGGACTGGGGCATGGCAGAAGACCATGCTTTGTGAGGCAGATGTCAAGAATGCCACTAGCAATGAAAATGATAAGGAGATGAATTTATTTAGAATCGATGCTTCTTTATCTGAGTTGTCTCAGGTACAGGTGAATGTCTCAACTCTCTTTTTGAGCAGCCATATTAACTACAGTGTTGTCATACAGACATACAGAATTGGAAGCTAAAAGCTTAAAATATTTTCTTTTCTTCATTTTCCTTCCTCCCACCATTTCCCTCAGCATCATGGGTGTTTAAAGCAATGCAAAGTGGGCCAAAAATGCCATTCTTAATGTGGGAAGAACATACTATCTAAATGTGCTCAGAAAACAAACAAGGAGAGACTTCCATGTTTAACTGTAGAAATAACCAGTTACAAGTTAGAAGAAAAAGTATCTGCCCTGACACATTTCCTTTTCAGCATTGTGTTCTATGCTGGCCAGAGATTCAAGTTTGGGAAGAGGATTTCATGTCATTTCTTCCAACTCTGGAAACAATTCTACTGGGAGGCTCAACAGTTCAGGTAAGACTACTCATTTCATGACTGATGAATCACTGATTATACACCTTTAGGGAAGTAAATCATTTTTCTCTAGCTGTTCAGAACCAGTAATGTGTGTAAAACATCAAGATTCTAGAGAGGAACTGGAAGAAAATAATCATGCACATTTCATTTGTTCATTTGAAAACTGAACAAATTTAACCTATATCTTTACCTGTATCTTTCCATGAAGTTGTTTTTATTACAACCCAAGTTAACTTTCTCTTTGGAACACGGTCCAAAACTGCAAATCTGAGACAATGAGGCTAAGACACACTTCCAGTAGCGATTCTTCAGTTGAAGAAAAATTTAAGGAAGCATGCTTATTCATATGATACACTAACACAACTATTCCAGACAGAACCTTCCACTAATAAAGCATATTTAATTATATATATTCCATTGTATCATTACTCATTCCTGTAATATGCTTTTGCAAAAAGAAAAAGGTTCAGTACTTTAATAAGGTCTTTTTCTTTCAATGTTATCAACCCATCCATTGCTGCAACATAAAGATGTGGTATGAAGAATTTCCCATCTCAAAGAATGCCTTGTATAGACATCAGCAAAGTAGGCACACTCTGGGAGGCCAGCCAGGATGTGGGAATGGCCTCCTATAAAACCGAGTTTGTATATGAACATTAAAACGGAATTTTACCTGTATTTGCAGTCTACTAAACGCTCTCCAGCCTTCAAGAACACAATCCTAAAATTCGAGGAATTCTTCCCTCGTCCCATTTTTGCAAAGAAAGGAAAAATAGATTCTAAAACAAATTTATGAATTTTTTGGCAATAGTTTAAGTACATTTTTGGAGGTGTTTTAATACCTTCCTTTGGTTAGAAAAAGTTCACGCAAACCAAATTCAAAAATCCTACAGCGTGCCCTGGGAGCTCAATTTTAAGACATCCCAGGGCTGTTCTAGCGCCGTCGGATTTTTACAACATGGAAATAGAAAATATTAACCAGTGAAATAATAGGCAGGTTTTCAGGAGAGTTGACAAGGTTGGACTGAAGCTACCCAGCAAGCCAGACAGTTGTCAAAGTCGCACTTCGGATTCGTGGGTTCCCATTCCTTCCCACCTTCCTGTGCCAGGGCGGTGGTGGGGAGGGGGCAAGATGGGCGAAGCAGAGATTCACAACTGCCAGTTTCTCTTCCAGGCCCGCGCACCTGCCAGCCCTCCCCCCTCGCCCCCGGCTTCGCGGCCGCGGCCAACTTCCCGCAGGACCCGGGGGCCGGCCGACCGGGGGTGGGGGCTGCGGGCGGCACCTGGCCCCCTGCCTCGGGCCGGCGGGGGCGGGGCGAGCCAGGCGCCCAGATTAGTGGGCCGAGCGTGCTATTTCTTTTAACGTCAGCCTCCCGGGGGATGCTGGATTTGGCGGGGCGTGCTCTTTGAAATACTATATTGGGAACCTCACACATTAAACCTTTTTTTTTTTTTAATTGCAAACCTTCCCAGTTCACTCGGCAGCTGGCAAGCAGGCCCGAGGCGGCCTCCCCTCTCTCCTGCCCGCCACCCCCATTTTCTTCCTTCCCGCCCCTTCCCCCCGCCCCTCGCCCCGCGCTGGGCTCGCGGGAGCCGCCCCCTCCCAGGCGCCCGTTTGGTTCCTCCCAGCTGCCGCGTGAATGGGCCGCCCTCCGGGTTCCGCGGGGCGGGGGCGGCGGGAAGTAGCGAGTGCCGTCGGGGCTCGCGGGCGGGAAGGAGCCGCGGGCCCGAGCTGGAGGGGGGAGTAGGGAGAACGCGCCCACCACCTTCCCTTCCCCCCCCCGATGGGAGCGGGGGCGTCCCGGCCGCCGCAGCCGACTGAGGAGACCGAGCCCGGGGCCGTCACTTCGGAGTTGGGGCTGAGGCGTCCTCTGGGGAGAGCGCGCCAAGACCGCTGCAGCAGCTGGCCGCGTACGTACCGACTAGCTGTCCGCCAAGTGCCAGATGCCTCGGTGCTCGGGCGAACTTGGGGCGGCGGAGCCTCCGGGCTGCGCCGGCACTTGGGGGGCGGGCGTCCAGGGCTGCGGGCCCCGCGCGGCCGCCGCCGGAAGGAGAGGGCGGCCTCGGGCTCTCATGGACGATTCCCGGAGAGAATCGGTGCGCAGGGGCAGCGAGCAGAGGGCGAGCCGGGCCGCGGGGCCGACCTGTGCGTTCCGCTCCCAGAAAGCCGGGGGTGCGGCGTCCACTCTTCCCACCCGGCTTTGGCCGTCGCGCGCGGCGCAGAGCGCTTGTGGGTTGTGCGCGGTGGGAGCGCTCGCCGGCCCCGGAGTTTGCAGCGTCTTTCCGCAGAGGCAGAGTCTTTTTGTTGGTTTGTTTACTTTAGAGTCTTAATTTTCGTCCTGAGTGTCCTCTCCTATGGAATGTAGTCGTTTTCTTTTAAAGGCGGAAGGAGAGTTTTGCTTGAAAGTGGCTTACAGAAACTTGGCACCGAGGTGAGCTGGAAGCGAGAGACTCATTTGTGCTCGCAAAGGCCGAGTGTGGAATTTGCCAACACATGTGGGACATACAAGCCTTGGATGCAGAAGTCTGTGACCTTATTAATGGGGAAACGGTGCGAGTGCAGTCAAATGCTTTGGGACTGCAACTTCGCGGTTCACGAAGCTCAAAATGTGAAAGGACACTTCGAGTGATTCTAAATTTTGTAAGATCTTGGGCGAAAGGATAATTGAAATATGCATTTATAGGTTCTGCAGACCCAAGTTTTGCAGCAGGTGATCAGGAGGAATCGTTGACTTGCATATACTTAATTCCTCACTCAGAGAGATTCGGGAGGCAGGGAAGATTTGGGGGTAGCTGTCAATTTAAAATTTCCTTCAGAGTTGATTTGGAGTAACCTGTCACTACCGGTTGGTTTGCCCGTGACATGTCTGCAAACTTAAGGAGTGCAAAGATCAGAACTGAGAGGGAGATACTCAGATCTTGTTTTAAAATATTTTGGCAGTTTTAATAGATAATATTAGATAGCATAGGAACAGTGAAACAGAATTTTAAAAAGATTAGTCACGTAGGAAATGCTAGGCTGTTTTGTTAGAGAAGTGTGCACACAATGAAATACTTAGAGATTTTCACTTTTTTGAAAAATTTCCCTGTAAACCATACCAGATTATGACATGTCGGAATTTATGTGTGGGTTTTAAGAAGGAATAGTGAGAGAAAAGATGCATAGGATTTACTTTCTATATTTTGGATGGGAGCTGATGTTTTCCAGAAGACCTTAAAAAACTGCTTCTAGTCTAGCCTAAGAGCCAGTAAAAGTGTCTCTTAGATTCAGGGGTATCCTTTTTCCTCCACTTTCCAGTACTTGAAACATTAAATGCTGTCTTTTCGTTAAGTTTTAAAAATTATATTCTCCTTGTAGGTATTATTGTGCATGTTAGGATTCTTTTTGGAGAAGGAAATGGCAACCCACTCCAGTATTCTTGCCTCGAGAATCCCACGGACAGAGGAGCCTGGTGGCTGCAGTCCATGGGGTCACAAAGAGTTGGACACGACTGAGTGAGCAGCAGGATTCTCTTGAGAGTTTATATATATCTGCAAGGTCAACCTACTTTATTTCTGTTTGGGTATTAGTTATTGGGAAATCAGGTCATGAAAGAAAATACCAAAGAACCATTGGAAGGTTTCTCCTTTTAATTTTATTATTTTTAGCAGCTTGCATAAAAGTTAATATGCCAGCCTGGTATTAGGAAAATTTTGTTTTTCTTGGCTCTGGTGATTTCCTATTATGTGTGAGTAAATCAGTGATAATAATAAAAACATTGAGGCATTGTAGATTTTTATTTCACTCTTCCTGCTAATTATGGGTGTAGCAAACATGACAGAAATCCTTAGGAATACTGTAGCCGATACAAGGAAATTTAGTGAGCTTATATAGCTAATAAGTAATTTGCTATATCCAGTGAATATATCTTGCCTTGTTTGAGAATTAACAAAATTGAATAATCTCGGTTAATGAAAAATTTACCTTTTTTGTTGACTAGTAACATCCATTGCCCTGTAGAAAATTAATATATTTCTGTTCTCCTTGTTATTTGGAGAATCAGTTAAAGCTTTAGGTATTTTCTTTTGATCACATTTTAAGAGCATATTGGCTTATTATTAAAGATTTTGGGGATTTGTACCATGACTGTTTTGAAAGAAAAAATTATAATGTATGACAAAGTGGTGGAGACCTTTGAAGAATGTATTGAAGGAACTTTAAATATTTAAAGAAAAAAGTGGTTGCATGGAAACAGAAGTATGTCAGGTTTTTGTATCCTAGACTGTGTCCTAATACTTGGGCTTCATCTGGTCCATTATAAGTCTTAATTGTTTTTGTTGATGCTATGCATGTACATTATTGGGAATAAAAGCTTTGTAAAATTCACCCTTAAATGTGAAGCCATATTCTGGATACCACAGAAGTATGATACATTTTATGTTACTTCCACGGAAATAACCATTTTATAATGCTTTTTAAGTAAGTTAAGATCTTCCTTAGTATAATCATCTATGTATGCATATTTCATAAAGCTTATTAAAAATAATAAGGAATACATAATGCCCACTTAAGGGGCATCCTTTGCTTTGGATTTAGTTTTAACTGTTTCGTTCATTCCTTTTACTAGAATGAAGAATAGTATACAGTTATTATATTAAATGCAAATTTACTTTTTGATCTGACATTTTCAATAACTAGTACAATAGTAGAATATACTCTCTTAAACTTAACAATGAAACAAGTGGGAAGTTGATGTTGGGGAAAAAATAGTAATCTTTGTCAGAATTCTCACAGCTAAAATATACCATTAAGCTTTCAAATAGTTTGTCATTTATCAATACATTGTATTTAGAGAGTTGCATCTTAATTTATACTGTATGTAGAGGAATTTCTGAAATAAAATTTTATATGTAATTTTGGTGACTAACTTGACTGTTAGTTGATTGAAGAATTTCCAGTCATATTATATGAAATACTAGTGTTTACCTGTTGTTATCACAGTTAATGCATACTTATTAATTGCAAAAAATAAATCTGATTTTCCTAATACTGATAAATATAAGCTTACACCTTGAATAATTAAGATTTTAAGAGGTTTATAAGAAATTTTTTCCAGCTTCATTCAGAATGCAGAAAAAAAATATCAGTAGGCGAGAGCATTTTAAGTTTGCTAAATTATTGTTAATGTGTTAGAAGATATATGTTTAATTCATAGATATTACAGTAATAAGACCCCAAAATATCTTTTCTGTTTCGGCTTTTTAAAAAATTATTTATTTTTAACTGGAGGATAATTGCTTTACAGTATTATCTTGGTGTCTCAAAAATATCTTGCCTTAAGATACATTCCTGAATGCTTAATAATAAATATGCCTGGTTAAATCATTTGATACTTGAAACACATACATAGGAGTTAGTACCTGGACCACCTTGCAATCTTAAATAACCAATGATGTAACTAAGCCACATTTGGTTATTTTAGGTTGAGCTCTGGGACTAGGAAAAAAAAATGAGAATAATTCACTCCTAGGCTTAAGGGTCATGCAGATTCTGGCTTGTCATCAGCCTTTTCGGTCTCAGCCTGTGAAGTACCTACCCATTGCACCCTCTCCCAGGCTCCCATACCTCAGGCTCTGTGTGCCTAGTCACTCAGTCACGTCCGACCCTGCAACCCTGCGGACTGTAGCTCTCCAGGTTCCTCTGTCCATGGAATTCTTCAGGCAAGAATACTGGAATGGGTAGCCATTCGCTTCTGCTGGGGATCATCCAGGAATCAAACCTGCGTCTCCTGCATCGAAGGCAGATTCTTTACCATCTGAGCGACCAGAGAAACCCATACGTTCAGGCTACATTCTCCCAAACCTGGCCATACCTCAGAGGTTTTAAATGTAGCCACCTGCTTCAGATTTCCTGTTTGCTTTCTTGCCATTTTCTGTCTCTACCTTTCTTTCCCTTGGTGTGTACCTGATCTCATCTAGGTGTTAGAGGAAAACAATCCGGTGGAACTCATTCACCTTACTCTGTAAATGACTCATGAGCTAACTCTTCCCAAGTATTTTCACATTTTCTTTTTTAGAAGTCTGGAAGAGATTGGTGTTAGATATTCACAGTACAACTTTCAGGCTGTGTTGGGAGGCAGGAATTGATAGTCCTCTCTGTATAAGTCAGATTTTACTAGATTTTTGTCCTTGGTTTCTACCCACTCCTGGACGAGTCTCTTCTTTGGAATGCCATAGACTTCATAGAAGTGTGTGTATACATGTTTTTATTTCCTGCATCATGAAGAGAAGGATTCAAGAGTAGTGTTTGTGAATCTATTCAAATCTAATGATCATTAATAAGATTGATATTTGTTATATGGAGATGACATTTTAATTCATAGAAATCAAGAGGGAAAAGACCTAGGATCTCTCATGATTGAAATTGACTTCTTAAAATGCTGCTATTGGGGCTAGGCTGATAATGATATATTCTGGTAAAGGGAGCTCGTTCGGCCATCTTGCAGAAATCCACCACATAATTAAAAGGGAAGTACTGAGGATGAGGGAATGAGAAAGGTGGGAGATAAAGTCGTAGGATGGGCTCTTGTTAGATTGGACAGCAGTTAACACAGAGGGGATCCCTTTTGGAATACAAAGTGAAAGTCCCTCAGTCGTGTCCGACTCTTTGTGACCCCATGGACTGTACAGTCCATGGAATTGTCCAGGCCAGAATACTGGAGTGGGTAGTCTTTCCCTTCTCCAGGGTATATTCCCAACCCAGGGTCGAACCCAGGTCTCCCACATTATAGGTGAGCCACACGGGAGGCCCAGGAATACTGGAGTGGGTAGCCTATCCCTTTTCCAGAGAATCTTCCAGACCCAGGAATCGAACCAGGGTCTCCTGCTTTGCAGGCAGATTCTTTACCAGATGAGCTACCAGGGAAGCCCTGATATTATAAAAGGAGACTGCTAATCAGATTATGACTCAAATGTTGGGTTTCATTCAACAGAGGCTTTTAACAGAGATGTTATTCCTCTTTGAATACTTAGAGAGGGATAAAAGCTGAATGAGACTCAAGTCCCTACATCTTGCATGCTAAGTTACTTCATTCTTGTCAGACTTTTGCAACCCTAAGGACTGTAGCCCTCCAGGTCCTCTGTCCATGCGATTCTCCAGGCAAGAATACTGGAGTGGGTTGTCATGCCCTCCTGCAGAGGATCTTCCTGACCCAAGGACCAGCCCACCTCTCCTGCATTGATTGGCAGGCGGGTTCTTTACTGCTAAACCATGAGCTGATTCTGCTGTCAGGGAGCTTAAAGCCTGCGGTAATCTGTTCCACAGAGCCATGTAAGTTTGCTTCTCTGTTTCATGGCTCCTTATGTTTAATACTTAGCATAGCATTTAGCATAGTGTTGAAGTGTGTGCTTACTTCTCTGTCTCCTGGTTCTTAACTGTCTATGAAGAACCACTGGAGCAAAGTCCAGTGTTTGGCACAAGCATCAGGGGAAGGTTAAGGGCTACAAAGGAAGATGGATAGGTCTAGGATACCTGTATGAGTTGTTTGGATTTTTTCCTCCATCCAGTGGGGAAATTTGCGGAAGTGAGTAAAGAGCCACATCTGTACTTTAGGATGATGAAGTCGACATTGCAGTATGGCATATATTGAAGGTGAGGAGGCTGTTTTCAAAGTTGGGGCAAGAAGCAAGGGGAAAATTAGAATTAGGTGCTTTTGAGGCAGAGAAAAAGGTTGGTGATGTGGCCTAAGGACATGTAGATTTGAGGAAGAAAGAGGAAAACAAAAGCATGAGTGGATAAAGAAGATATATATACATACACACACACACAGTGGAATGTTATTCAGCCATAAAAAAGAAATTCTGCCATTTGCAACAACATGGATAGAATTGGATGGTATTCAGGCAGAGGATGACAAATACTATATAATATCACCTACATGTGGAATTTTAAAAATAAAACTAGTGAACATAACAAAAAAGAAATAGACTCACAAATATACAACAGACTAGTGATTACCACCTGGAAAAGGGAAAAATGGACGGGCAAGATAGGAGAAAGGGGTTAAGAGGTACAAACTGCTATGTATAAAATAAATAAGCTACAAGGATATATTGCACAGCACAGGAAATAGAGCCAACATTTTATAATGACTATTAAAGAAATGCTGTGCTGTGCTTAGTCGTGTCCGACTCTTTGCCACCCCATGGACTGTAGCCCGCCAAGCTCCTCTGTCCATGGGATTGTCCAGGCGAGAATACTGGAGTGGGTTGCCATGCCTTCCTCCAGAGATCTTCCCAGCCCTGGGATCAAACCCATGTCTCCTGCATTGCAGGAGGATTCTTTATTAGCTGAGCCACCAGGGAAGCCCAGAAAAGAAATACAACCTTTAAAAGTTGTGAATCATTAAAAAAAATTGTGAATCATTATAATGTACACATGAATCTTCTGTATAATATTGTACATTAACTGTATCACAATAAAATTAAAAAAATAATAAACCCCTACTTTTATTAATCCAGAAACCTGGAAGGGTAGTGGTGCAACTAAAAGGAATGAGAGTTGGGAAGAATAGATTTGGGAATCTGGAAGAAAGGAGGAAGATGATAGCACATACTTGCTTTTGGGCTTACCAGATTTGAGAAGTTTGACAGTCTCCATGTGAAATGCTGAATTATCAGAAAAACAATTTGGGTTCTCACATTCTTCAGGTTTGAAGATCACTTTCTAAATCTAAAAAAAAATAGCAAGTACTCATTAATTTTGCTTTTAGTGTTTTATCAATAGAGAATACTTATAATGACAACTTGAATATGATCACAGTATTAAATGAGATTAAATCACAAAGTTCTTTTTTTTTTTTAACTTTGCAAAGTAGATGTATATGTATGAGTCAGCACTTGGTGTGCGTTTGGGTTGAGAGCACTTGGCAGTGACTCCATAAAGCACTGGTCCAAGCTACAGATAGCGGTTTGCAGGTCAGTCTGCTATAGGGAATATTGAAGCCTAGGGCATCATCAGGGGAGAATATGGAAAGATAGTAGAAATGGGATACAATATAAAAATTTGGAGAATTCCTGCAGTTAGAATAGAGTAAGGGAAGGCAGCATAACATAGTAAAAAGTCAGGTGAAGAGCATTTCAAGGAGTGATGTCAAACTGCAGAGAGGTTAAAGAGAAAAACTGGTGATCACTCAGTAGTTACTTGGGAGCTTTGATGGAAGAGTTGGGACAGAAGGCAGGCTGAAGCTTCTTGGACTAGACTGAGGCAGGTTTGAAGGAATGGTTCTTCTTTTCGCTTGTGACCATTAAAGACCTCTGTCTTACCCTAAATCCCCACAACCCAGCTTGGAGAAAGAGAAATTTTGTTTCCCGTATTTATACTAAGTTCTGTGTTGTGGTTCAAGGACAAAGCAGGAGTTGACCAGTAAAGCTTTTGGAGCCAAACCAGCTCCTTACTTCACTTAGCATAGTTTAAATCTTGGCAGATGACTGATCCTACCCAAGAAGGAGCCAAAGTGAGTTTGTCTTTAAAAGATTCTGGAACAAATTATTACCATTTAAAATAGATCATTGAATTAGCAAACAACAACAAATGGCCTTAAATGAATCACTGTTTTATTCCTCTTCCTTTGGGACTAACTGGACTGAATAACATTTAAGCTGGTGCAAGTGGAGGTTTGCTGTATATAGGCAGCAGGCCCTTGGTTTAGTTTTTGAATGCAGTAAAAATGGGTAACTGATTTCTCTTAATTGTGGAATTCATAAAAAGGTCAGACTCAGCATGGTTGTTCCAGCATCTCTTGCACAGGCCAGGTATCTGGAGTTTTCAGCTGAGTAGACTTACTGTGCTGTTAGCTGCCTATGTTACGTTGCATTGTATTAGAATCCTTTTGTGTTCACTTCCGATTAGAGAGATGCAGCTTTCTTTTGATTTATTTGACCTTCATGTTGAAGCATGAATAGACACAGAGTTTGTAAAAACAGAAAATCTTGTCTTATAAAAATTTTCTTTTAAATCAAATTAAGTTAATGTATGAAGTGGTGGGTGTTTAAATGATCGCAACGGGCTTTATGAGAAACTGAAACGTGCTCTTAAAGCAGAAAGCTTAGGGAGAAAAGTCCTTTCCCAGCAGTAAGTGTGGGCCTTTAGCAAGTCTCCTGGGACTCTAAATAGTTCACTTATTTATCTTTCATCTGATATCTTGAAACATACACTTGGTCTACTGGTGGAGATGTTATAATGGTAACTACTTTCTTACTGGAACATAAGAGCTTTCTCTTAGGAAACTAGGGGGTGTCCTTTTTTTTTTTTCTGGGTAAAGATGAGAAAGGATAAAAATTGAAAATTAAGATTTTCTAAAACCATTGATTATCTCAGGAGAATAAAACCTAAGTGTGAGTTTTGAATTCTCTTTTTCTTAAATTTTTCTTTTTTATTTGTCCATGATATATTCTTTGTTATTGCTCATAAGAAGATTCAAGAACTCTGTTCTAGATTTTCTCAGGTAATTTTTAGCTTACTCCATAATTTGGGGGAGTATAGATGGTGAGGTCATTGATGACGCCATGAATCTTGCAAGGTTACAGCCCTCTTATAAAAAAGCTTTCGCGTGTATATGTGTATACATACATGTTTATGTATGTGTATACTCTGGAGTTGAAAGCCTGTGGAATTACTGCATTAAGTGTGTGAAGGGAAAATGGGTTTCCTTCCCTCTATCTCATAGGCTTTCTAGAAACCCTTCTATTTGGTATAATGTTGTTCAGTATAGACTTGAACTTGAGTCTGTAACTCCCCAGAGCTTGTTTTTGTGGGTTAGTGTCCAGCTGGATGATCGATTCTCTCCCTCAGAGGTCTCCCTGTGAGTGGGAGGATAGAACACATCCTCTTATGAGTGATTCAGAAGGTGCAGAAATGTTTTTATCCAGAGAACTAACGTGACATGAACACAAAGGTGGTCTCAGAAGCTGTAAGAGTTTGTGGTGCCCAGAGGGTACACTAAATAGGGATCTTCCAGTGTAGTTTGCCAGTTTTGCCAAATCATAAGAGTCTTCTGAGGTGCAACCCTAGGAAATTATATTTTTCAAAGGTGCCCCAAGTGATTTCCTGGCTGTCAGCAGAAGTTTAGTGGTCCCAAATTGAATTTTTTTAAAAATATATATCTTGGGAAGTCATCAGGTCATGACTTAAAAAGAGCCATAAAATTTGAGGAGGTCAGTAGTTGATGAGAGCAGATTGTGGATGACACAGGGGTTCCAGGAGTTGGGGTTTCCTGGGAGTCAGTCCTTAAGGTGGTAGGGAAATGCATTCTCCTTGGATGGGATGACTGAGACTAGAATTTGGTATAGCAGTCTGCCCAATGATGTAAAGCAGAAGTCCCAAATTTGTTGATCTGGCCTTCAGGGCTGTTACCAATATTCCTCAGCTTGCTGAATCTCCCAGTTAACAATTGCTCCTGACTTTCTTGAGTTGAGAGTGTACTTGCATTTTCTTCCAATGTATGTATTCTTTTGGCTTACTATAATTTTTGCTATAGAGGGCTGTAGGAGCCTTTTAATCCTAAAGGTGCATTGATTACAAGTTTGTTTCTCTTAACTGGAAGTACTTGGCCAGCTCCTCTATATATGTGGGAGGTCTCCAGGCAACTGTGAATGACTTTTAAATAGAACTGCTAAGAGGTCAAGAAGGGCTTTGCTGGGTCTTGCTCTGTCTCTTTAAAGGGAGACTTCTCTGCCTTCCTTGGGCTCTAGGAGTATAACTTCCTTGGCTCTGTCTCAGGCTCTTCCACACCCGCTGGCTTCATCCTCTGTCTTGAACCCTGAGACAGTTTCCATGCTGTTATTTGCAAACAGGACAGCTCTGCTTCAGCATTATGTCTTGTGCTACATTCTTAAGTGCCATGTGTTTGAAAGGGAATTCCAACATCCCTAATTTTCTGTATCCCTGATGCCTGTTGCAGTTCTAGACTCTTGCATAGGTAATCCCGTAGTCACCTATTAGTCTGTTTCTGGAACCACAAAAAGTATTTCTAAAAAATGGTAACTGTTTCCTCTCTTTTCATCGCTTACACCTAAGTGATCACCAAGTCTTGCCATTTATTTGTCTGAATTTTTCCTGCCTCTTTTTTCTCCATTCCTAAATATACCACCTTGTATCTTATCAATTCTAGTTCATACTGAAATCTCTCATCTTCTGCCTGCCAGGCTAATCTTGCTACTTTTTCTGTATAAAATAAGAGCTAACTATAGCCATCTCACAGGGTGTTGCGAGGATGAGATGTAACGTTCAGTGCCTGTTTATCACATGGTCTGACACAAGTGTTCGGTGCATAGTAGCAGAGTACACTCTTACCTCCTTCAGAATTTTGTTCTCCTTCACTTCATCTCTGTGTGGCACCGTGGAAGCAGCAGATTGAGTGCTCAAAAATACAGGATACAGAGCCTGGCGAGCCATGTTTGGCTTAAGTCGCTAGACCTGTTTAGCTACCTATGAGATCTCAGGCAAATTGCTGATCTTTGAGCCTTTATATTTTTTTCCTCTACAACGGAAACTATTACTGACTATTGATCATTATGCTTGTTAGGAGAGTAAGATAACTTACAGGTACAGAGAGGCTTCCCAGATGGCATCAGTGGTAAAGAATCCACCTGCTAATGCAGGAGACACAAGAGACTGAGGTTCGATCCCTCGGTCAGAAAGATCCCCTGGAGAAGGAAATGGCAAACCACTCCAGTATTCTTGCCTGGAAAGTCCCATGGACAGAGGAGCCTGGCAGCTACAGTCCATGGGTCGCCAAGAGTCAGACAAGACTGAGTGCACGCACACACACACATCACACACAGCATAGAGAGAATGCTTCCTTAACAGTCAGTTGCTGTGCAAATGCTCCTTGTTTTTTATTCTTCCTGTACTGCAATCTTAAGCCCTGTAGTGTCCGACAAAGAGGCTTAAGAAGTTTTTTAGCAAGTGTGATGAGCGTTTCCTCTCTTCTTTTTGCAGGTTAAGCCCATCCACAGTGATGGCCGCAGCCTTACCCAGGACCCTGGGGGAGTTGCAGCTGTATAGAATATTACAAAAAGCCAACCTGCTTTCTTATTTTGATGCCTTTATCCAACAAGGTGGTGATGATGTCCAGCAACTCTGTGAAGCTGGAGAAGAGGAGTTCTTGGAGATCATGGCCCTCGTGGGCATGGCTAGCAAGCCCCTTCATGTTAGAAGGCTGCAGAAGGCTTTGAGAGACTGGGTTACAAACCCTGGCCTTTTCAATCAGCCACTGACGTCTCTGCCTGTCAGTAGCATACCCATCTATAAGTTACCAGAGGGCTCACCGACATGGCTGGGAATATCCTGCAGCAGTTATGAAAGGAACAGCAGTTCCCGAGAACCTCATTTAAAAATCCCCAAGTGTGCTGCCACCACGTGCGTGCAGAGCTTGGGACAGGGGAAGTCAGACGTGGTAGGCAGCTTAGCACTGCAGAGTATCAGTGACTCCCGACTCTGGCAGGGCCACCACGCCTCCGAGAGCGAGCACAGCCTCTCCCCGGCGGACCTTGGCTCCCCGGCTTCCCCGAAAGAAAGCAGCGAGGTGCTGGATGCTGCTGCTGCACTCTCGGTAGCCGAGTGTGTGGAGCGGATGGCCCCCACGCTGCCAAAAAGTGACTTGAACGAAGTTAAAGAGCTGCTGAAAACCAACAAGAAGTTGGCCAAGATGATTGGTCACATCTTTGAGATGAGTGATGACGATCCACACAAAGAAGAGGAAATTCGAAAATACAGTGCAATATATGGCAGATTTGATTCGAAGAGAAAGGATGGGAAACACCTCACACTTCATGAGGTAAAAAAGCCCACATTTTTCTTTGTGTGTATGTGGTGTGCTGTCTGTTAAAGAGATTAACTTGGTAATAGTTTACAGCAGAGATGATACACTCCCTGGATTAAAGACATTTAGGTTGAGCAAAAGGTAACTCTTTAGTGAAAATTGACCATATTTATGGTGTTAAGGTATTTCTGTGTTGAATTCAAACATGTTTAACTTTAAAATTGTAGTGTAGAGTGACTCTTAGAATGCTATCAGTTTAAGTAGTGAAAGCATAAAGTCTGCATTTACAAGGCAGTTTGTCTTTTAATTAAGAATTAAAATGAAATTTTAAATCTAACTTAAATATCATTTTTGTAGACTTTTTAGAAAAAAAAGTTGTAAAAAAATAACCAGAACTTAGTGATTTTCACATAGCATAGAAAACAAAATTATATTAGATGAATGTTAGAAGAATTATTGTAGCTTTGAATATTGTTTTGTTGTGACATTTGAAATTAAAAATCCTCATTTTGTTTTTATAGCAGTCTATCAAGAAATATTTTGCTTAAGTAGAAGAATACATGTATGTATATTTCTTTAACATTTGCTCCCTTTTTCTTGTCTGTCTGGCCAATACATCATCTTTAAGACTCAAGCATGAGCTTAAGTCTTTTATAGTGTGTTTTCCCCCAAGTAGAATGACCTTTCCTTTCCATTTTTACCCCTATGCATACTTCTATCACAGTAACTTCAACACTTTATTGTACTTTTTAATATATTGGTCTGTCCCTCACAGTATACTTTGAGATTCTTCAAGGTAGAAATTATATCTCATTCATTTTTATATCCTCTGAATCTAATGTGCTCAATAAATACTTGAAAAATAAGTGCATTTAAAAATTACCTTTTTAAAACAAAAGCTGTTTCATAGCTAAAATTTATAGCCATTTATCCATTAGAAGAAAGAGAGAAATTCTGCTTGAAAAAAATTTTCAGTTGAATGCAGTATTTCATTACTTAGAAACATAAGATCATTCCCCACAGACTTGTACTTGAACAAAAAAATAGTATATACTCATTGAAAAAGTTTCAGTATGTACAGAAGGATGTGAAGTAATTGAATCTGTAAACATCCAGCTACTTTCCTTTACATACACAAATGTGGGGTCATATTTTGCACACTCTTCTCCAAATTCTTTTTTTTTAAACTTAATAATATACTCAAAGTACAGTATACTATTATATTTTCAAGCAGTTACGTATAGAGCTACTGTATTCATTTATGGATTGCATTATATTTCACAGTATGTGTGTGCTGTTATCTTAGCCATTCAGTTTTTGATGTCACTTAAGTTGTTTTCATTTTTTAAAAATGTTATATATTTTATATTATATATATGTATGTAATTATAGAAAATATTTATGTAAATATAAATATTACATACATAGTTTAAAATTTTATATATTAAAACGTTATACACATATACCTTTACAGATTTGTACATCTTTTCCTATAGAATAGATTCCAAATGTAAAATCATAGGCCCAAAGAATATGTAGATTTACTATTATAGTAGATAGTGCTTAATTGCCATCTAAAAAAGCTGGAACAATTTATATTTTCTTTATCATTATTATATGCAAATGTCCATTTTTCCACACTCTTGCTAAAACTGCATTTGTCATTTTTAATTTTCGTCAGTCTAAGAAAAATTTCCATTGCTCAAAGTAACTTTCATTATTGAGGAAGAGCATCTTTTCATGTGGTTAATAGACATCCAATTTTATGTTCATATCCTTTGTTTTATTGTTGGAGTTGTCTTACCTTTAAAATATTGGTAAAAACTTTTTATGTTGTAAGTATATTAACTTTTTGTCTTAGATTGTAAATATTTTTCCAGATGATCATGTGTCCTTTGACCTTTTAGACTTGTTGCCATGTGGAAATTTAATTCTGTATAGTAATGGTCATTGATCTTGTCCTGTGTCCTTTCATTCATCTGATTCTGTGTTCCTTCACTAGTATAAAGTTACGACGATTACTGTAGCAAAATACTATATTTTATATATGGAAAGGCAAGTGTCCCTTCAATAGTATTCTTGTGCAGCATCTTTTTTTTTTCAGGTAATCTTACACATTTCTCCTTCTCAAATGAAGTTTTTAGTGTATTTGTCAAATTTCCCCAAAATTTCTGCTGGTGTTTGATTAGAAATGCCCTAAAGGTATAGGTTAATTTGGGGGGAAAATGATATATTTACAATAATGAAAACTCCCATACAGTAACATAGTATGTGCATTTACTTAGCTCTTCTATATTCTTCTGTAATTTTTTAGTTCTTTATTCACAGTTTTAAACATTTCTTGTTAGGTCAAATACTGTGTATTATACATGTGTATATTAAATGTTTGTATTATAAATATTTACATTTATTTTGCTTTTATACATGCATGAATAAGATATAAAGGGGATATAATTGTAAATGAAATTGTTTCCTTGTTAAATTACTATCACTGGCCGATTTTTATATATTAATCATCTTTTCCAGCAGTTTCACCATCTGATATTTTTAAATTATTATAGATATGAATGTCTACTGATGCTTAATATCAGAGAATTGGTTAGCAAAATTAGTCACAGGGATTCTATGATTTGATCTCCTTTGGGCATGTCCTTGTGTAATTGTTATGTATTATTGCCATACAGTAATAAATTAACAAGAACTTGTGATCTAGAAAACACAAGTAGCATTATAATTCAGCTGCACTTTGACACTTTCATTACCTGTGGCCCAGTGTAGAGGAATCTGCTAAAGGCTCTTATGATAGGAAACAAAGGGCGAAACGTGTTGGCAGTTTTAGGTTCATGCTTTAATCTAGCTTTCATATAGTTCTTAAAACATGGCAGATGAAACATAGTCAAGGACCTGTACTTTTATTAAAGTAAAAGTATGTTAAAGAGATGACTTCAATAAACCCTATCAATCTCACTTAAAAAATTTCTAACCTGCTTTTAAAAAATCCAAAATGAATTATTTCACACTTGACTTTTCCTAAGGGGCTCTTTGCTTCTTTGAATAAATAGGCACAGGTGGTATTTAAGTAATGAGCCCATTGTGGGTTTCCCAAAAGAAGGAAACAATCAAAATGAATGCTAGTAGGCGGAGATGTGGGGGTGGAGCTTTGGAAAATGTGGCTTGTGTTTTTGAAACTTAACTTAGACCACTTATTATTTGTAAGTCAAGTGTGTGAATCTGGTCCAATAATATATTTTAGGATAGAAGTGTATGCATCAGAGCACTTTCTTCAAACTAGTAACCATCCAGGAATTTTGCAGAAATGATGAAATCCTAAGGGAATTAAAGAAGCTACTATCAAATGTACTGTTTAGGTATTGTGATAATTTCACATTTTTTAATTTGACTGTTTAAAATGAGAGAAAGACTTGAGTTTTTCTAAATTCCTAAGACTAAAGAAGGTTACTAGTTTGTCCTCAAGTTCTAAATAAGGAAAGATATGACTTATTCTTAATCCACTTTTAGTAGTATTTCTGACCCTGTGTATAGTATTACAAACTCTGTGGACACTATTCTTTTCATCTTTCAAGACATATAAATAGGTCACAAGTAGATGAACATCAGGAAGTTATCTATACCTGAAAAATAATTTTTAACTCACGAGTACATAAAATTCTCATTTTTATATGCACTTTATATTTGTTTCCCAGTATACATTGTAAAATTTATAATCATTCCATTTTATTGTAAAGAATTGTAGAATGAATCATTGTTACAGACACTTTCTTTAAAGCTAGACAATCAGTGATGGTCTTAGGACATGGCTATGTATGGCCTGGTCATAGGGGTCAGACCATGAGCATAATAATATAAGAGGCTGAGGCCTAGAACCACACTCTTTAACTGGTGTGGGGCAGGTGCTAACGACAAACCCAGGAGCAGGATTACAAAGAGGTCCAGGCAGGCAGAGTTCCATCTGTCCAGATGTGTTGGTAGAGTACGTGGTACACTAGGTAAGCAGAGTGCATCAAACCTTAAAGCAGTAAGTGGATAAAGAGAAAGACTGAAAGTTGAGAAGAGCAAGGCCGTGGAGCATGTAGGGGCTTATAATATTCAGAGATAAAAGCACAGACAAGTCAGCATTATAGAGAATGTTTGTCAGCAGATAGCAGCTTCCAGCCAAAGAGCTCTGGGACTCAAAGACAGGAAGGAGAAAAAGAGGAGAAGGTAGAGTTAGTGGATAAGTTGTAGATGTAATGGAAATGCTATAGAAGCTGGAGTGCTAAGAAGATTGCAAAAACAAGGACCTAGGCCCATGGGATACATGGTGGTGTCAGGTTTAGGTCAGCTACCACTGTAATGTTAAGAAGGCAAGGCTGAGGGTGTCAGAGAAGCCCAACAGTTTTAGTTTTGAGAGACAGGGATTGTCAAATCAGGGAACCTGGTAGACCTGAACATACTATTACTAGGTACAATGCTTTATTCTGAACTCTGAGCTTGAGTGGAACAATTTCACCATCTCATACTTGAAAGAAATGCTGGACATTTCCTTTCGATCATTTTTAAAAGTAGGTTAGACTTTGCTAAGTTTGGGGTTTAATGAAATCTGAAGAAATAATGGAAATATATTTCTTTCAGTTCATTAATGTTTAAATACTATCATGTATAATTAAAATGATGTTGGTTAATGGAAAAAAAAAAGATTATAGGGCTATCAGGTTAGTGTCCCTTCTGGAGTCACTTTTGATAATTCACAACTTTTCTGAGAATCTGTCCATTTCATGTAAGTGTTCAAACTTATTGGGCTGGTTTATAGTTTTTAAGACCTAATATTGTTTGTACCTTTGTCTCTTTTCCCCTGATTAGCCTTGCCAAAGATTTGTCAGTTAGATTAATCTTTGCAGGGATCTGCAGACCGAAGCCTGTGGGCAAAATTTTGCCCACTTCCTGATTTTGCAGATAAACTTTCTTTGGAATACAGACATGCCTTTCTGTTTATGTATTATCTGTGGCTGCTTTTG